AATACAGTTTTAAAATTTTCTATTAGTTTTCTTTTTATTTATCATGCCTATTTTTTCACCACAACAGTTTTATTTCCAAAAATTTAGGTATCGATAAAATATAATAGATAATTAATGAGAGATGGGCATTTTCTTTTCCACTTTTATCGTTGATTTATACAAAAAAACAAAGAGATTTTTAAGTAAAGATATTTTTAGAAATAGGTACCAAAAAAAAATGGTACAGAGATATTTTCCCAAGAAATACCTCTCACATAAGCCTACTATCTATTTAGTCACTTGAGTACAATATGAAGTTCGAAATAGTTTTATATTGCCCCCTAAAGAAGTAAAGAAATAAATAACCTTACTAAAGTTTGAGCCTCCCTAGTGCAACTCAAAATTTTGAGAGTTTGTTTCTAGAACTAAATTTCCACCTTTGAATTTGGCACCTAAAGATATAATGTATTTTATTTGGGGGTTTGCACATGTAGTTTTAGGAAGTTGTAATTAAAAAAATGAATCATTTTGACTTCGACAATCGAGAAATAAATTGGTTTAAAGCATACAATTAAAATATTTTGTAAGACCACTTATCAATTCTAAATTATTATTTTTCGAGGCTCAAATTTCATAATCAAGAGTTAAAATAACTTTGCAATTCATTACAAGGGCTTCCCGCACCAGACTTGTATTTCCCAGTAGAACTTTGAATCATATCTTTACCACTATCATTAAGTTGTAGAAGACATTCGGAAGGAGAAAAGCCCAAAAAAATTGGCAAGTTTCCTAGGCTTAGGATTTTTGTGTTTATTTTTCCTCAAAGTAGAGGGAGTCTGATATCCGACTTACCTGATTTTGGAATGACTCAAACATAGGGCCCTCTGCACATAGTCTGTATTTTTAATCACTGTTCAAAATCAATTTTTTTTTTTTTTGACAAACATTCATAAACTTTTATTCATGAGATTACAAGAAGTCATTTGCATCACTGTTGAAAATCATTGTCCAGCTGCAGGGTGGTTGACAGTCCAATTCAACTGAACAAACATTCCTCCTATGAAAATCCCTCCCTGTGGGCCTAGCTCCTTGGTCATTTCTCATCTGTCATTCCACCCTTTGCTTAAATATGGACTTCTCTGATGCCTTGTTTTATTGGACCACCACCCACGAGAATGGACGGTCCAGATGCATCGAGCTCATTTTATGTCATTCCTCATAGCCTTAATTGGCTAATGCTCCTAAAGTAGTTTCTTCCCCACATGAACATAAAAACTGAATCACTCCTCCTGGTTGTAATTCAATCCAAATCTAAGCCAAAATTGGTCCAAAGTTTTATTTTTAACAAGTATTGTTTTATCTATATGGTGGTGTAATTATTTATTTTTTATTATTCTTATTTTCCCTTTGAATTCATAAAATCACTCTCATTTTTCTCTCTCTTTAAACTATTATTCAGGAGACCAAGGTTTCAAAATATTTCGGGCGGCATGAGATTTGACTTTATGCAGCTATAAATATTTTGAAACCTTGGGTCTCCTGAGAAGTAAGTACAAAAAACGAGAGGTATGGAGAAATTTTTCTTATTTCTTTTGACTTTTTAATAAGAAAACTTATACAAAGAGATCACTTACTTTTGATACAAAGAAGTCACAATCACTCTTGTCCATCACATTTTAAATCGAAAGATTGTGAGCATATCATTTACTAGGCTCAAAATTCAAAAAACTTTAGGACACAACTCAAGCTTTTGAGTTTAAAAGCCGATGGCGAGAGGTATTTGTGATTTTTTAATAAGAAAATTTGTTTCATGCATGCCAGACCGCATTTCTACATATGCGGTCCAGAAAGTTTAAAAGAATCCAATTTAAACATGGATTCAAGTAGGTGTTTCATCTAAAAACAATAGAAACCAACAGTTCAAATATTTTGTTACAAGAATTATTATTTGTAATATTTAAAAAATTACTTATTTATTTATATTCATGATCTCTATGTTAGAGATTACGTGTCCTTAAAAATTAAGTCTTAAAATCCATCTCAAGAATAGATTTGTCAAGAGGCCCGTATTTCTATATACGCAGGCTTGGCCGCAAAGATACCAGGTCCGTTTAATAAATACGGTAAGTGGGTCCTATTAGAAAAAGGGCCGGGTTGGGTGGATTAAAACCGGGTAGCCCATTAAATTGCCCAAAAAAGAGAAAAAAGATAAGTGGTCCTATTGCGTACACAATTCCAATAATACTCCCTTCACTTCACACTTTCTTTGCGTCATACGACACTCCCTATTTCTTCTCATTTATTTTTGTAAAAATTATTATCCCTCTATGTTAACGGTACCTCAAATAGGGGAAAAGCCAAAAAAAAAAAAACTAATAGAAGCGGGTCTACCAAAGAGCACGTGCGTAAATTCAAGTGGTCCGCTTTTGGTGGAGACCACCAAAATGAATTAATAATGTGGTGGAGACCACCATCGTCACCCATGTTTTCGTGCTCCTTAATTCCCCACGTAAAAAACATGGCCACTTCTCAATATATCCATTAGGGCGGGCGTATGCTCTAAGAAGAAAAAATAAAGCCTCACCTGCTTAAATCTTCATTATGAAATCATCCCTATATCTATTCCTCTCTCGATTAACATTTTCAAAATGTAATTCCCGAATCTATTGAAAAATGGGGTTGGGGCAAAACTCAAAAAATGATACATATATCTTGCCGATTTGTTAACACTAATTTTTAGGCTTGTCTAGATGATTTGTTGCGGTTGTAAAATTTGAAATCCTAATTTTTTTTTTCAAGACCATAATGTTAAAGCTGAGACGATAAATTTAAAGGTTTTCTAACATTTGAATTGCTATATTTTTTGATGAATTGTGAGGTATGGTTTTATTTATTTTGATAGGACTGCAGCCCTAACAAATCATTTTCCAACATGTATACTATTCTTCACATCCCTAGAATTTTCGGTTATAAAGTTGTGTGCAAGATGGTTTTCTCCTATGCGAGTAAATAAACAGTATACACCCGCGGGGGTATAAACTCTTATGGCCTATGTTAAAGACCTAGAGAGAGAGAGAGAGAGAGAGAGAGAGAGAGAGCGCGTGCAGTTATA